GGGGTGGGGAGAGAGAAACATTGATGTGAGAGAGAAACATTGATCAGTTGCCTCCCACATGCAACCTGACCGGGGTGGGGATTGAACCTGCAACCTAGGCATGTGCCCTGACTGGGAGTCAAGCCTGCAACCTTTTGGTGTACAGGACAGCGCTCCTACCAACTGAGCCACACCAGCCAGGGCTTCTTCAAGCCCTTTTACACAGAGAAGGCAAATGGCTTTCTTCTGGTGTGCCAACTTCCATCAACTGGATATGGCTTCCTAGATTGCTGTGTTGAAAGAGATTCTGAGGGTATATTCAGGTTCAGCAGGAAAGGGTGCTGCGTTCAGTTAGGGGTGATTATTCCTGCAGCTGCTTTGAAAATAATTACAGGTTTCCTTGTTTATTTGAAAGTGAACTTAGGTAGTTCAATGGAAGGACATGTCAGCAGGCCCTTATTTCTCTAATTTTGCCTGTCAGTGCCCTGAAGCAATTACTGGGCTTGGGAAGGAAAGAGAATGCTGCCTATTTTCACCTATTTGTCCTATTTTACCCTCTTTTCTCCCCATTTGAAACTGACAAAATATACCAGTATAATAAATAGTATACTTAGAAGGGATCTTTAAGATCATCTAGACCAGTGAGTCCCAATTTGGACCAGATCCTGGGAGACGGGGAGGATGCTTTAGCATTACTGTGGAGAGGCCTCAGAATCACAGGAGTATCAGTATTACTTGTAGACTGAATGTACATTATTTTGTATACGTATATTTAGGACTTCAAAACATGTTTTTCATACTATTGTGATGAATAACACGATTATTTGTGAAAGCACCACTGAATTCATAGTACCTTTTTGTAACTTAGTATTTTTTAAATCTGGGAAATTTTCTCACATTTAAAGGGGGAGGGGAGAGAAATAGGCCCATCAATCAAAAAAGGGAGAATTCCCATTCATTCTCAGAAGGACTGGAAACCACTGATGCAGCCCCACCTTCTCCGCTGTAGATGAGGAAACTGAGGGTCAGAGGTGTGAAGAGATCAGCTCAGGGTCAAACGATGGCCAGAGGCCTCGCCCGGGCGAGCACCTAAGTCTCATGGCTTTTCCCCCCATCCGCAGCCCAAATGATTAACTCTCAGCCTACTCCTTTGCCTCCCAGTTATAGAAGGACCCTCAGCCTGTCCTCCTAGACTCTTCTCCCTGCGACACCACAGGGGAAGGTGGGGAGGCTGCACTTACCCTTGGAGCAGACGGGCGTGCTGCAGAACTCGGAGATGTACTTCCCTGCCTTGAAGACGTAGCACCAAGGTTTTGAGTCTTTGTCTGGGTTTCTGAAAAATCAGCCAGGGAAAGCCAGGGGGTGTTAAAAGTGGAACTTCTGGTCTGGGGAAAGAGTTAGTGGGCTTTTGGTTTTGGTTGTGCATAGGATAGTTGTATCATGTTAGGTGGAAGTATGACGGTGATTGTCTTCATTTGGAGATTAAATATGGTTTAAGGAGATGTGTTTGTGTGCCAAGTTGACAAGGGGTGGACTGTGATGGTTAGTCTTGTGTGTCAACCTGGCTAAGTTATTATGCCTAGTTCCTTAATCAAATACTAATTTAGGTGGTGTTGTGAAGGGAGTTTGTAGATGTGGTTAACATCTATAATCAGATTAAGTAAAGAAGATTTTCTTTGATAATGTAGGTGGGCCTCATCTAATCAGTTTTGCCTTAAAAGCAAAAGCTGAAAAGAAATTCTGTCTCAAGACTGCAGTATCAACTCCTGAGTTTCCAGCTCGCTGGTCAGCCTACAGATTTCAGACTTGCCAGCCCCCACAATCACATGAGCCAATTCCTTAAAATAAATCACTTTATATATATATATCCCATTGGTTCTGTTTCTCTGAAGAATTCTGATCAGTCTGATGCAGGTATTTTCCCCAAGGGTAACATCTTCTTACCAGAGAAAAAAACTACTCAGTAGGGAAGAGAGCACTCTCACCTGCAGTAATTGTGATTCCCAAGACCCAGCTTGACGGCACCTGGCCTCTGCCCATTGTAGGGCTTCCGGGCCAGAATGCTGCTGTTCCAGTTGATACAGTCAGCCCCACTTTCGGCTGTGCTCCACGTGCCTCTGTAGGTGACACCTTGGTCCTTGTAGCAGGTAGCACTGGTATCTGATTGAAAGCAGGAAACGCAACATCTCACATGTGAATCCCCTTTTCATTTAGTTTCTCAAAGGGTCTCACATCTGCTGCTGTCATCACCCCCAACCAATGAGTCAGGCTGGCTGCTAAAGCTGCTGGTGGTCACCCAGCTGACTGGTGGCAGAGCTAGACTCCAGACTCACACCCAGTGGGCCCAGCACCTTGGTTTTATAACCAACCCTTGGATGAACCTTGCTGTCCCCACTCCCCATCCAGACCCCTGTCACCAGGGCAGATTTCTTTTCTGGGTAGATTTTACAATGGGAATTTCAGTCCCTCTCTCACACGCACCCACCTACCACTCACCTATTTCACAGAGTTTCCCACTGAATCCTTCAGGGCACTGACAGACAAAATCTGAGAAATACAGAGCCTGCCAACATGTCCCCCCATTGAAGCATCGTGGTTCACTGCAACCTGTCAAGTAGGAACAAGGAAATCCTGAATTACTTTCAAAGTAGCCCCAAGAATAATATAAATTAAAATATTAAGAGTGCTGTCTACATGTCAGGCACTATTCTAAGCAGTTTACAAAATTAACTCACTTAATTCTCACAGCAAACCATGAAGTATGTACTATTGTTCTCCCCGTTTTACAGAAAAGGAAACTGAGGCTTGCAAGTGAAGGCATTTGCCTGAGGTCACATAGCTTTGCTCCTTTTTTGCTCAGCACCTTCACATTTGCCTAAGGCACATCATGCCTGGAATCTCCATTTGAAGATTTGAACATGTGGGGGGACCAATAAAGACAGGGTTTGGGCCATGAGACTGGACACTGAAACTCGAACCCTCGGCTTGAAGTCCATACGTACTTTTGATGGGCACAGAGTGGCACTGCGGCCGGCCACTGTTGCACCAGCAGTATTCTACTCGGTTGCTTCTGATCATGGGGCGCAGCCACGACTCATGTTGCCGGTATATCATCTGGGTTTTTTCATCTCTGCAGGTCACTATAACAAAAGACAGGCTGGCCTCTTAGGGCACAACTCACCAAAAACTGGTGGCCAACCTCTGAATTCCTATCTCACTTTCTATATAATCTGTCCATTATTCCTTTTTGCCCTCCACTGGAAGACAACAAATACCTAATATTTTGTCTCCAAAACCCCTTTTATTATTCTTTTTCCTCCAATGGGCCCTCATTTTAAAAGAATTTATCTATTAAAATACATTTATTAAGTAATACTCTATTTTTTCATTTGAATTCATTAAAACTATACACATGTATAATAATGCTCACCAGAGATTTTGATCCACGTATTACAACACTGAAAAAATGCATTTTTGGCCCCAAACAAAGAAAATTGGCATTTTGGTCTGTGAAGAAAATGTGCTACTTCCATTCGTACTTTTGAAAATATAATGAAAATAGTTGAAGTACTCCCATTAATATTCTTTCCCTCTTTCTCTGTTTGCAAACCAGAATGTCAACCTAAAAAATCTTTAACTTTTAATGTAAATTGTACTATTGTTTCTTTTGAGGGCCCAAGGGGAACAGGATACCCTTGTTGGAAACGCTGTGCTACGCAACAGCGATGACATGAAGAGTTAAGGTGTGACTCACTAGGGAAACTTCCACTTAGAGGGGTGTTGCAAGTCTTCCAGACCCAAGGGAACTAGCTCATGAAGGAGGAGAGATGAGGGCCCCAGGTTGGTAGTTTTCAACCTGCAGCTAGGCCTAGAGTTCTTCAGATCAGAGTTACAACAATCCATCGGCTGTTAGCATTTTTTTTATTCTTGGAATCTTAACAGGAATGTTCCTCAGGTTTCTAGAATCAATTCTAGACATGGTCTTATTTACAGAAAGTCTTCCCACACCACTCTGTGAGTTGACCCAGGCTAGTTATCCCAGTTTTACCACCCGAAAGAACTGGACGCACAGAGATGTCAGTTAACAAAGATGCCAAGTGGACTCTGCAGGGATGGGGATCACAGCCCAGGAAAGGACCTCAGAGGATGTGGACGGCTGCAACTTGGCAGCAGCATGGGCTTGGGCAAGTCACTAAATCTCCAGGGCCCGTTTTCTCATCTGCGTAACAGGACTTAGGGCCATTGAGCTTGCGGGCTCCCACCAGCTTTGCGATTACTCGAGAGCTTGACTCCTTGAGGGCACACCTGTCCCTATCTCCTCAGATCCTGGCTCGCTGCTTCAGCTACCTGGGTGCATGGAGTGAGTGATGGGGGGGCACACAGGCATCTTTGCAGAATTGCCCTGTACAATTTCACCTTCACATAGCTTAATTTGTCAGGTGATGGGTAGAAGATAAATCCCCAGACCGAGCCTAAAACACCCCGAGCCTCTGAGCCCTAACCCTGCCTCCTACCTCCACCCACCCCTCTCCGCCTCAGCATCTTTATCTCACCTCTGTATGACCTGGCTCCTCTTCTGAACCGCATGTAGATTTCCTGCAAAGAAACCGGGGAAAGGATCAGCACATGCTGGGTGTCTTAAGAATAAAGGTAGCCAATCCAGAAGACCACCCATCAATCAGATGCCACCTGACCAGAGATCCCTCCTCAGGCTAACAGGTCCCACGTGGAATGTCCATTTCCTGCCTTCTTGTCTAATTCTTCCTCCTCTTCTAGACTAGCGCTGCCCCAAAGAACTTTCTGAATGATGTAAATGTTTAATACGTGTGCTATCCAATATGTAGACACTAGTCCATTTGGTGATGCTTGAAATATGGCTGGTGTGGCCCTGGCCAGGTGGCTCAGTTGGTTGGAACATCGTCTCATACACCAAAAGACTAAGGGTTTGATTCCCAGTCAGGGCACATACCTAGGTTGTGGGTTTGATCCCCATTTGGGGTGCGTTTGAGAGGCAACCAATAGATGTTTCTCTCTCACATCAATGTCTTTCTTTCCCTCTCTTCCTTCTCTCTAAAATCAATAAACATATCTTTGGGTGAGCAAGAAATATGGCTAGTGTGATTGAACTGAATCTTATATTTAATTTTAAATTTAAATAGCCATACAAGGTTAGTGGCTACCATATTGAATAGTGGAGCTGTAGTCCCCATCTCCTCCATGTAGCCATCCCTGACTCTCCTCTAAAATCCTGCTGATCAGGGATTGCTTACCTGGCTTTCTATGATGCCCTTTGTTGCTGGAAATTTTCAGAGAGCATGTGTATTATACAGCTTCTGTGCCAATGAAAAAGTAAGCAGCACGAGGGCAGCTTGCCTGCTTCTATGGCTTGAAGCCCTCGTAGTCTTTTGTAAATACTTTACAGATTAATTCTAACACATTCTTTAAAAAATAGCTCCAAAGAAGGCATTCAGAGGCAGTAGAGTAGAATTAAGAACTTTTTCCTCAAGTCACAATAAGTGTTGCCAGAAGCCCGAATCCCAAGCACCTATACAGAGGGGATTGGCCCTCTGGGCCTTTGCCTCTCCAGTCTGACACCATCCCTGCCTTGGGGCTCCTGGGTACACTGAGGCGAGCCAGAAGTACCACAGCCTCGAGGGGCTAGGCACACAGGCGTGGACTGCACACCCACCTGCCTGGGCAGCGTGAAGACTGCTCCACAGAGCAGCAGGACACACAACAGCTCTCTCTTCACTTTAGTCATCATTTCTGCAGTGTCCCTTAGATCCTGGAAGAAGAGGGGGAAAAGCTTAATCATGTGATGTGAGAGGTCCAAATAGCATAACAGTTCAAGAACCTGAAACTGTTTCATGGCCAGGCCCTCCAGAATCAGTTTCGTTAGCAGGAAATCCCACGGCAAGTGTCTGGAAGATGATTTTTTTATAACAGTACACATAACATCAAATTTACCATCTTAACCATTTTTAAGTGTACAGTTTAGTGGCATTAAACACATTCACACTGCTGTGCAGCCATCACTGCTTTCCGTTTCCAAACCTTCATCTTTCCAAACTGAAACTCTGTACCTATTACACAGTAACTCCCCATTCCCCTGGCAACCACCATTCTACTTTGTTTCTATGACTCTGACTACTCTAGGTACCTAGACAAGTGGAATCATACAATATTTGTCCTTTTGTGCCTGACTTATTTCACTTAGCATAATATTCTCAAGGTTCATCCATGTTGTAGCATATGTCAGAAATTCCTTCCTTTTTAAGCTGAATAATATTTGTCTATATAGAACACATTTTGCTTATCCATTCACCCATCAATGGACACAGGTTGCTAGAAGATGATTTTGTCCAGAGATTTCTATGGGCTGAAGGGTGAGGCCATCTCTGGCACTTCTTGGCAGCCTCGGGACTGTGGTGAGCTGGCTTGGTTTCCTTTGAAGTGAACTCCTGCCCTGGGGTTGACTAGACAGAGCCACAGTAATGTCCCCTCTCTGACTTTTTAGAAGAAACCATAGGGATTTATTGCTGACACATCACAGAGCCTGCCTACCTCAGATTGCCTCTGCTCTTCCACTCATGACTTTCATGCCTCTTTGTCCAACAAAGAGAAGGCTCTTCGGGTCAGCCCTCCCCCTCCCCACCGCTCCATCGGAATGTTGGTCTCTTTCTTTACAGACAGGCCTGACAAAGTACAGGTTTGCAGAAAGGAGCAGAGGCATCTGGTTTTAGTCATTAAACTCAGATCTTCCTGGACCCTTAATACCCAGCTTTCATGTGCCTTTCCCAGTGCTCTTCTCTCAGCAGCTTTAAGTAGGTTAGTTGGTCGGGATGTTGTTTTGTGGTCTGGCAAGCCCACTAACTCCTTCATCCTTAAGGATTAAATTAGGAAATTTCTTCCCTTGACTCATTTCCCTTCAGTCACAACAACTTTTGGTTCCACCCCTCCCCCTAGCCCAAGGATCCTAAGAGCCCTGCCCCTTTAGAGGCTTCCAGGACTTTCATCCTGGCCTGGCTCTGACTTCTTTATTTGCAAAGAACTCCCCCTGTAGGAAGTGCTATTCCCTTCCCATGACCCCAAGATCCCCCTAGAGCAAGGATAAAAAAGAAAGGGTGAGAGGGGTGATGGGAGACTCTTTATGCCCCGGTGATTCTTCCTGGGATGCTGGTCACAGGCAGAGGAGGGAAAGCAGAGCTGGGGGAATTGTGGAGAGTGCAGGTCAGGTCAACAATGAGTCCAACAAGGAAACCCAGACCCTGGGCTCAGAGGGAGTCTTGCCAACCAGCACACCCCTCCTCCACCTCCCCTTGCCCACTATGAAGGAAACCGAAAGCAGCTCAGGATCTAGGCCTTTGTTCTGATTTGGCATGCCCAAGGCCCCCTTCTCAGGCAAGTGGGGGAGGTGTGCTCTTTGGGGGCCCTTTTCTTAGAGGAGGAAGCTGGATACTATTGACTGGTTTCAGCAGAAAGAAGTAGGCAGCAAAGTCTTCTGAACCCAGGGAATTGTTTTGGATTTTCTTTCTCAGCTGTCCTTAATTTTTCCTTTTCTCAAAATTTCCAAAATTCGTCTTAAATTTCCCTCCTAATAACCTTTAAAAATAGATCTTCTTAAATGTATTCCCCTCCTTTCTTCTTGACCTTGATCATTTCCACATATTTAGAGGTGGTGCCATCCTTTATTATCTTAGCCAAGCCTTGAGGATAGGGAAACCTCTAAACTCTTGGGACTTCATGAAGAAATTCTGAATGAAATAATGATTGAATGAGTAAACGAGCCACCAGCTGAACAAGGACCTTAACCTGCATGCCAAACCAGCCAGTATTTTCAATATTCTCATTCACCCAAGTTCAGGGGATTGGAGTAGTCCTTTCCCGGGGTGCCTGCCAAGTTACTGTTTTATTTCAAGAACTCACCATCCTCCAAATGGAGCACAATTCTAGATGTTGGAAATTGCAAAGTGGGAAGTAAATATTAACATATTTGCATTCCCTGGACAAATGGGGGGAGGGAGACCAAATGGGAAGGAGGAGCCTGGCCTAGGGCTGGGTGCAAAGACTCCAACAGCTGCATCCTGTCTAACTCTTCTGCAACCAAAAAATCAGCATAAGGGGGAAAAGAGCATATTTTTGTCTTCAGCTCTTGGGAGAGTTAGAGGCTGTCTGCCTTCTATCCGTCCTTATCTCCCTCTGTCTCTTTTGGCCTTGCTAGGCCTTGAGCTGATTCAGTGCAAATGAGTCCCACAAAAACCCCCACAATGTGATCGCTCCATCCTCGCTGCACAGAGGCAGTGAGAGCAGCCGGACAGGCTGAAGGGGTGAGAGGATGACAAAGAAATTAGTCACCCTGCCTGCAGACCAGCAGCGCAGTCCGAGAACAAGGGAGAAAGAGAAAAGGGAGGGAAACGTGTCTTCGATTTGCCTTTGTTAAAGAGGTGGGTGCAGAGGCGTGGGCAGCGCCTGGACAAAGAAGAAAGGGAATGCCAGGAATTCGGTCTCAGACTCGGGACCCATGGGACCCACGCCAGGAGAGACTCAACACAGTGGACCACAGGCTCCCACCAAAGGGAGAAGCACCAGGTGCTCATGGCAAGGCCAGAGCAGGAGGTGAGAGTTGAGGGATAAGTGTAAGAAGTCCTTCTGAGGCTCACTTTTATAAATAAAAAAGACTTGTGATTTTAAAAATGTGCTCTCTTCCTTTTGCTATTTCAATGGCTTCCCAGAATCAAAGGACTAAAAAGGCAAGGAAGCAAGAGGAAGGAGGAAGGGAGGAAGGAAGGGAGGGAGGGAGAAAGGAAGGGAGGGAGGGAGGAAGGGAGGAAGGGAGGAAAGGAAAGAAAGAGAAAAGAAAAAAAAGAAACAGCAAAAGCATGAGGATTCTCACTTTGTTAGACCGAAATCTCTGAATCACTGAAAGAATCACTGCGTGAGGGGAGCGACGGAAGGGCCGGAAAGCCTGCCATTCCCAAGGTCCCAAGGCTCCAGCTCTGGCAGGCCCATCCTGGCACACCAGGTTGACTTTTGCAGATTTGTAAAAGGCACCCTCTCTGGTGGATGAAGTTCATTCAGCAGGGCACATGACTTGGCAAATAAAGCATGGCCTGGATTTCAAGGATGCAAAGGCAGGCACCCTTTTCCAGGGCACAACCTGCACAGCTACACGTGGTGGCCTTTGTCTGCTTCCGCGGCACCTCTGACCTTTCCGCTTGGAAGCCCAGTTGGGTCCTGCTGGCTGCGGCACCAGAGCGACTCTGTTCACTGGTCCCTCTGAACAAGTGCGAATGACGACTGCTCTAGGGGACAATGGGTAACTGGTTCTGGTAACCGGGGAGAGGATTACTGTCCCCAAGCCCAGGATGTGTGTCATTCTGGCTGAGAAATCAATGACCATGCCAACCAGACACTCAGTGTTCATTTCCACAGGGGTACATGGGGGAATGCTGATTGATGGGCATTCCCAACATAATTGTTTGAGTCTGGACTGGGTGAAACCATTGAAGTGGGAGCAGGACAGGTACAGGAGGGACTTGGGGGACAGCAGAGGAAGTGCTGTCCTCAGTGCTTTTCCATTCCCTTTGCCTTGCCCTTTCCCTCCTACCTTCTCCACCTTCCCCCAGAGAACTCTGCTCTCAGAAAAGGAATCGACATGCTCATTCACGTAAGGTAAAAGTGACTGGAAAAAAAAACCGTGCTGCCCTTCCAAAAGCATCTATATTTTGAGACATAAAATCTATTCCTAGGGATGCCAAACCAAATAGGCTGGACTCAAGGTTTTCTCTAGGGCTAACATTCTGTGATTTCTGTCATGAGAACAAATGGTATAAGGAGTGTACACATGCTGTGTAAACTGTCAAACACTTAGAGATGGGTATAAGCACTTTTATTTAAACACTCAACCGTCTGCTATAAAATGATTTGCAATCACTCAGCCAAGTTCTACAATTCTAGGTACAAACAATGCCATTGCCCCAGATGTTACAGATCTGGAGGATTTCAGTTTCCAGTTTTGCCCATGAGAAAAAGGCAGACATGAGAACAAGGTAGACGAGGATGGGAGTTGCAAAGGAAAGACAAACGTAATTTGGTACTATGACTGAATCTAATACCGTGTGCAAGGTTCGCAATCGGAATCTTTCGTAAAGGAGGTTTTTTTCTCTAGAAATCTGAGTAGGAGAAATTCAGTCTGTAAGAGAACCGAATGCACTAAAATGACTCATGGCTTTAGAA